CACCAGGGCAGTGCTTATAGTGGTTGAGTGATTTTCCTAGATGATGCTCTTTCATTTAATAGACCCCATAATTGACTGAAGAGATTTGGGAAAAACACATTTTGTAGAATCACAACTCCTTAGCCTCTCAGTTTTGATTTCTAGGAAATGCATGTAGCGTGAGAGCTCATCAAAGGCTTTTTAAGGCTCATTTGCTCTTTGTTTCTATGGATGGAAAGTTAACACATCGCTGCGAGGCCCATTAGGTGCGGTGAAGCATAGACCTCTCAACCGGCTAATGTTTGTTCACATCAGGAAATCCCCATGTGGTTTTTCAACAGCTTTTTCCCCCTTTCTCTTTTCTCATGTCTTATGACGTTCCACACACCCTTGCACTTTATTGACTAATGCCTCCGTTTTTATTCACTTTTTGTGTGTGCTTGCTTGCCTTTTATTTATATACATGTATACTTTTCTATTAAACATTGTTTTTATTCTCTTTTTGATTTTGAATTCTGTCATCATTGGGACAAAGATTTGTGGTTGCCCACGTTGCGCTACTCAAGTGATTAATAGACCTATCATGATTTTAGAGCTAGCAGGATTGTTTAAACATAGCATTCATCATCCCATATGCCTTTATGTTATTGTCAGAAACCAAAGGAGCGGGGTTGTTTGTATTGGTGACATAGTGTGTAACGGGATCCACATCACTCCACTACGGTCTACAGTTACCTTATCATCTGGTACAACCGTAGCACTTCTTTATACAAAGCTTGTCAAATTTGATGAAATGAAGTGAATTCGCAATAATGAGTGCATGCCGACACAAAAGACGTGGAAATTACATCATCTAATCATGTGTCTTTCTCCATCCACAGTCCACACTCATGCCAGAAACACTCCTCTTCCTGAAATGACTGTTGCACTGTTTTGCCAGGAACCATAATGATGAAATCACTTGCTAAACTTTTGATTTCCAACGTACTCTTTAATAACATTCGTAACAGACACCACCTTATCATGTGGATTGTGTCTCTTACCTCTTGCTTTGCATATACGAGCCTCTCTTGCGAGCACGGCTGTTTTTGAATGTCACAAAAGATTCTCAACTTATCCTCTCAGGTCTCACGCAGACACTTTAGTTAAGCAGGTCCCCCCTGCCCCATACGCCAGCCTCCCCTTGAGAGGTGTAATGGAGACGGCAGATGAGAGGAGAGATACAGGCGTCATTGAATACAGGCATACTCCTGCACATTGTGCCAGGCTGTGTCTGGTGGAAGCTAACACCTTGTTGTGTTTGAGGTTCGCTCGTGGCCGACCGATGCATCAAATCAGCTTGGGGGCACTCTCACATAGTACCTTGAGAAAAGAGCCAGCGCACCCTCTCAGAATGCTATAGACCTCTTGAAACTTTAATGATACCCTGCTCCTCTTTTGAAGACTGTGCTACATGCTATCTTGGCAGTGTTGCAAGGGTGAGGTGATAATACGCTCATACATAAAGCCATCCATTGCTGTCGTGTCTCTGTGGAATTAACAACCAGTAAGGCGCGCCAATACTGCAGATGCGTTCTTCCAGAGTGCTGTGACCTTATATAGAGATGCGAATGGAAAGAGCTCATCATCTGCACAGGTGGCTGGTTGCTGGGCTACAGGTGCAGGCTGATTTATCTCAGTGACCTAGACTACAGAGTGTATTTCTCTGTGGTGATCTTTAGACAGATTGTGAGTTTTGATAAAAAAAAATGTAATGTGTAACAGTGTGTGAAATCTAGAAACGGTTAGAATTTTTCTCACACACTTGCAGTTCTCATTAATGGCTTGTGTACTTCCTCTTTCCCTGCTTGACGACACAGTCTGCCGGCCTTATCACTCTTATTAGACAAAGGCTAAAATTTTGACAGTTTTGACTATTTGCTTTTTTATGTTGAAGGTCAGGTAAATCGGAAACATCTGAAAAAATATGTGGGTATCTAGTAGGTAGCATGTTCAATTTAAGACATTAAAGGGGCTGTATGTAGTTTTTTTTGTAGCAAAAAAATGTGTTTAATATGTTTGCAGAGATTTAAAAAAATATTTGGTTCTCTGAAAAGCAATGATGTTGAAATGCGTGTTCCGTGTCTGAATGTCTGAATGTCAAATTACCAAATAGTATTTCGACACCCTGGGTTGCCAAAAAACGAATCTCTGTAATAAAAACATTGCAAATGTAGACTTTACATTAGCTGATCAACTTATGCTATCCATTGTCAGTTGCACTATTTTCTGTTACATGTCCTCATCCGCGTGAATTTGGACTGCAGGACCCATTTCAACCGTTAGCTGTCTGGCCTGACGTGTTGCATTGTATAAAATAGTGCATTGAGTTTAATTTGTCATGTGAAGACTGTGCGCGTCACAACAGAACACCGTATCCGTGGCTAGTATCCACTGTGTCCTGGATGGGGAGCTGATATCACGCGATACTTCCTGAGGCTGAGGCCAGCGGCCCGCCGGACCAAAGTTGCAAGTGAGATTTTCTGCTCAAAGGCATCAGAGAGGGGCGAGACGGCCACCATTTAACCCGAAAGAAGTCATATAACCATTTCAATAACTCTGAAGCTGTTCAGTTAAGCTAGAAAAACTGCATAGTATCCCTTTAACCCTCTGGTGCTAAAGGTTTTGGCACTTTATGCAAACACTCACACACACACACACTACTACTAGTCACACTTGTATTGTTTGCAGTCAAAAATGACCGCATTGGAAATGATTGGGAGATTAATTTTATCTGGTGAAAACTTTTGGTACTGCAGCTAAACAAAATCTTACTAAAATTAAGGTTTTGATTTTGTCACAGTAAATCACAGTAAATGTTTTGGAAAATAAATGTTTTTTGTCACAGTATATGTTTTGGAAAATAAATATTTCACATGAAATGTTAAAATATTATTTTGTGCAATTTTCATAATAAACTTTTAACAAATATTTTTTTTTTTTTTTTTTTTTTTTTTAAGTCCCAACTCCAACGCATTCAATATTTAGGACAGTTTAAGTTGGAAATTTCATTTTCATGCATTCTCAACAAATGGTTAACAAGTAATAAAGGGATCATGACATTCCATAAATAAAATTTGAAGAAAAAAAAAAGGTAATTTTTGTCCTCTACGCAAGCAGAAATTGAGGGTTAATTTCATGCAAATAGTTATAAATAAATTGACGCAATTAAGAAAATATTGAGAAAATACCACTTTTTGTAATGTATATATACTATATTGTTTTCATTTGCTATAGTGTGATGTTTTATAACTTCCTTCATTCTGGGCGTTTGTGAGCAAATATTAATCTGCACATTGTGTGACATTTGTTATTGGTTTATCATATTTGTTCATATACTCTGCATTATTTTTTTTTTTAAGTTTTGTTTTTTGAGTCTCGTGCTCACCAAGTCTCAATTTATTTGATCAGAAATACAGTAAAACACTGTAAATATTATAGTTTGAAAATATCAGGTTTCTATGTGAATATATATGAAAATATAATTTATTCCTAAATTATCAAAGCTGTATTTTCAGCATCATTACCCCAGTCTTCAGTGTCAAATGAACCTTCAGATGTCATTCTAATATACTGATTCTCTGCTCAAAAACATTCATAACATTCTTATTAATGTCAGTGTTATTTTCAGAATTCTTTGTTGAATAGCGAGTTAAAAAGAACACACATTTGGTCAATATAATGCATCCTTGCTAAATATAAGTATCATTTTATTTCTGAAAAGAAATCTTACTGACAAACTTTCAAAAAGTATTGTATATATGTAATTCTATCTATGTTTACAGCTTTAGCTGTATCTATAATAGCTTTTGTTATATTTACAGTTTTAGTTTGACTACAGCTATGTTTAAATGTTTAAATATATTGCGTATATATATATATATATAAAATGCAAAAGGGGACTAATATTGTTTCAGTTCATGCAGTCTGTAGTCAATAAAGTGAATAAGAAAGAAGCACCACCAAACATCTTATGGGGCCAAGTCTTTTAACAAATTTTACCTAAAGTAACCTTTTTATTTTCAAGTGACCTTTTTAGTCAGTGAAACGAGCTCTTCTTTATGAGCACAGTTGCAGCTGTGGTTGTCTGAGAGGCAGGTGTGAGGTGGTTTCTGTTAACCTGTGGACCGCAGTGTCTTGCTGCTCCATGATGTCACATGGGACCCAAGTGTGTTCCAGCCAGGGTTGCCATAGTGGCAGAACAGACGCCCCTGTGAGAAAGAGTCCAGACTCCCTTGCCATGATAACCTCCCAGCGTCTATTTATAGACTGCACTGTTTATTGCTGTGAGAGCGTTACGGCAACAAAGGGAGAGCACCGTCTGAATCGTCTTTCTTTGTCCAGTAAGCCTTGAACATCATTTGCTTGTTGTTCTTATGATAAGATAATGACCAGAGGGAGCACTGGCTGGTATTTGAACTGTACAAGAAAACATGGTGAGCTTGTGTACAGTGTTTGTGTGCATGCCACTGTAGTTGGTTATTTAACTGACACGACACACACACTTTCATCACCCACCCTTTTACAATGAAGTCACACATGGGGATTTCCTTTGCACTGTTCTCTCTTTGCATTCCGCGTGCAACGCTCGCTTGCGGACGTGAAGGTTTACAGAAAAATGCTTATGCTCAATTATCATATGCTGCTTGTCCCTCATTGACGTACTTATTTCAATCTTCTGTGGCATCTGATTAGTCAGTTTGAAACAGCTCTTTTTCTCTGAAGTGCTGTGAAACATGAAATGTAGCATGACATTTTTTTTCTTTTTGCCCTGTTTTAATGTCTGAAGTCATTCTCCAAGGATTTCAATCCACAGGGCTTCATATGAAATAAATAAGAAAAGTTAATTTCTTTATGTTTTAAGGAATAAAAACTAATTCTAGGACAGATGGTGTCATTTTAAAAAGCAAACAGATATATTACATGATCAGTGAGTCTCAAATGAGTTGTTACATCAGTCTGTGTGTGATTGCCATCTACAGGTGAAGCTGGTGAAGTACATCAGTAAACAGTTGGAGTGGAAGCAGAGTGTTCCAGAGAGTGAGCGACCACTGGTGCTGGACTCTTACCCACACCTCACAGACTGGCTCCACACCATCAACCTCCGGACAGAACTCATAGAGGTAGCAATATGTGTGTTTGTACTCAATCAGGGGGGTAATCCATTGACCAGAAGTTGAAGCCGGCCGGGTGCCGCCAACTTGTAGCAGAACATCACTAGAGTTAGCATTCCCATTGACTCCCATTCATTTTGGCGTCACTTTGACAGCGAATAACTTTACATCTGAGGCGTTTGAAGACCCCATTTGTCCATTATTTATTACTAAAGAAGCACGACAATGTATAAAATGCTCCTTTACCTTGTAGCTTATGTTATGGCCCCGTAGAAGCAGTTTTTTTGTAAAAGTAGGCTAACGATTTCTTCATAACCACGCGACTCTCTGTCGCACATTAGAGCGATTACCGTATGGACAGGAGGAGAAGCTCGCAGGCAATCAGGGAAACGTGGAGGCAAAATAATTAATCAGAATACCTTGCAAAAGTTTCTCCTGCTCCTCGCTCATGGACAGCTCGTACTCACACTCTCTGCCTCTGCATGTTTCGGAAGGGAATGATTCAGATTTCTCATGCCACAGCCACTAGAAGACAGACGGGTCGCTCACGTCACATCTACGTCGTCGTAAAAAATCGCTAAAAATGGCCTTCACTTGTCTCAGTGGAGTTCCAATGAGACGGCTCTGTCCACTTCTTATACTGTCTATGTGCATTTGTTCCTTTATTGCCTAAAGTTGACCATATTTCCCTGCTTCATGACCTATATTCGGCTAATGGACCATTTTTGGGTGTTTTTTTTGTTGTTGGTTGTTGTTGTTGGTTTAGTTGTAGTTTACATATACAGTATAAGTGACTGTTTTTTTCATACTTTAATAAATATAAATAAATAGAATGAATGAATAACATTCAGAATAATAAATTAGTTTTTAAAAAGTTGTTGCCTCAATTTTGCGTTATCTGCTAGCCATTTTATTAAACACCACATAAGGCACGTCTGTAAAGTATGGCCTCTCGTACCTAATTGCTGTTTCTGTTTATTTTATTATACAGCAATATGTAGCGTGAGAGTACAATATAACCTCTTCTCTTTAAAAAACAGGCTTCTTAAACTGTATCTACTACTTAAAGAATGTGTGTTTACAAAATGTCTGTTATTGGAGGGTTTGGACAAGGGAGGAAAAATGTTTTGCTTGCTCGCTCGCTGTGTTCTCTGTGGTGTTTCAGCCCTCGGTGGATCCACACACCTGATCCCACTCCAAAGCTCAGAATGTGCAGCGTCAGCCATTGTGTTCGACTCTCCAGTCGGTCTGTTTTTAGACTCCAAAAGGGGTCTCTGTCTCTGCCAACCAAACCTCCCTCCCCCCCTCGCCCCCATACTGTCATACACAAAGCTGACCAGAACAGCACTGCATTCATGACTGCCTGGAAAATGCGTAGACTTATTTGTCTTCAATAGACAAGGAAACATCCAAACAGGGAAATAAACAGCCTATGCAAGACTGAGGAACAAACTTTAAAAATAAAAACAATTTATCCTAGTGGGGACGAGAGAGGTCACTTTGCGGCATGCCTCTGATTAGCTGACTGCTTCACTTCGGTCACTGCGGTAGGACAGCATGTTTATTTTCTTGTTTTTTATTGTCTGTTCCATTTTTCCTCTCTCTTTGGACTTTAGATGTCCCAAAATATTTGCCTTGTCGTTGTAAACAGTCCATTTCTGGTTTTGCTGTGTTGACCCAATGCTACCAAAATTGTGTATTGTACAAAAGTCAACTAAAATGTCTTTAAATTGAATTAAAATGTATTAGTATTAATAATTGTATTGTTATATTAATAATTGTAATGATTTAAGAAAAATACAGTTATATTGGCAGTCAGTATTTACCGCACAAAACATATTGTGGTCTGCATAAACTATGTTTATTCTTTTTGCAAGTAATCACATTTAATGTATGGTAGTCTGTAAAATATTTTTATTTACTTTGAATATAATTACAGTCACATACAGTATGCTGACTTATTTTATTTTATTCCTATAGTCTAAGACCCAATTTTGAGTCAAGTTGCCCTAATCACTGCCCCTACTCAATAAGTTTGTTCTTTACCGTATCACACAAGGCTGCTAGAGTGTGATTCACAGGGCAGGAATGCATGCATGTGGCAGGACACCCATAGGCAGCCTGCCCCTCTCGGACAGGACAGCAGGGAATCCAGTTGCCCCAGTGTAACTGAATGGGATAGAACTTTCTCAGGAAGAGCAGAGGAATACTATTCCCTCCTGCTCTCTCAGAAAGAAAATGGTACAAAAACGGTACCCAGGATGGGACCCTTTAAAAAGGTACAAATATGTATCTTTGAGGAACTAATTTGCACTCTTTAGTTACGAAATGTGTACCTTTGGAAGGGTTCCCCTGTGACATTGAGCTTTTTCTGAGAGTGTGTGGCCATCAAGGTGGGACTTTGGCCAATTTGGTTCTATTTGCATGATTAAACAGTTTAGGGGTTTCTTTGGAGATATTTTGCATATGTGTGGCTTGTGGTTCCTAGTGCATCTACAGAACTGCTAGGAAACACCCTTGAAATTGTTACTGCTTTGTGAGTTTGTTTACATAGGAGTTACTAGAAATGGAGAACTATCTAGGGTGTCGTCATAGTTATACTGTGACCGATTATAATCATATGTGTTGTTTACATAAAAACTAGTTTCATATACTTTATTTCTGACCATGTTTAGTGATACTGATGTCATGATGTCATAACCTGCTTCATCTGAAATCATGCTCTATATGAAATTTCTGTTGACAAGTATTAGGCATTAAGACAAGTATAGCATCTAAGCTAATGATACTAGCACTTTAATTGCACTCTTATTTGTTAACTTATTATTTATACAGTGCTTTTTAGTGTTTGTATGAAGTCACTCAGTTCCCCTTAGGTTAGCTTGAAATAATGCTTATGCTATACTTCTTTAAAATAAACACTACTTTGGTTATTATGTAAGGCAATAACATTAAGAATTTAAGCAAGGTGTCCAAATACATTCGGGACATATGTAACCATCTGATCATATCCAGGCTTGTTATTAAGTGAAAATATATTAAAAAAAATTGTAAATTGAAATAAAGCTGAAATAGTTTAATTATTAATAGAAGTATTAGATTTATAGTAATACTAAAATTAGCAGCACTAAAATTAACCACTGGAAATAAATGATAAAAAAAAAAACATAAAATAAAATGTAATTAGTAATATTTAAAAAAGAAAACATATTAATAAAAGCACAAAACAAAGTTACTAAAGAATGAAATTTAAATATACAAATAAAAGCTAATTAAAAATATGAATAAAACCTATAATAGTTATACTAAAATAACAGATAAATACACATTTGTTGTGTGCGAGTCAATGAGCAATAACTGAGAGTTGATGTCACTTTATTTTGTATATTGTGACTCATTCCATGATGTTTCCAGCTGCCACAGTCTGAAGGGATTTCCCATTGCTCAATAACAGTAAGAGAGAGGAGCAACAACCATGATGCACCATTCAAATTTGCGTTTATATATTTTGTAGTGGTGACTGACTATGAGTTGCTTATGGAATATAATGCTTAGATGTTAAATCAACCAGGGTTTAGAACATTTGAATTTAGGCTGTCCAAAACATGCCAACGTGAGCTATGGAGTAGGTCTAAAGGGCACAGGCAGGAGTGGTTGTCTGAGTCATATTTCTTTTTTGTGGGTCACATCCTGTGGATCCACTACATGCCTTCCTCAAGGCAAAGATAAAGAGAAAGAGATAGAAAGAAAAAAAAAAGAGTCTGTGACAAAAGCAATCTCACCCAAACCTCTGTTTCCTGTGCTGTACCCCCTTGCTTGCTCTTCTTTGTTCCTTTAATGTGGCCTCTCTTTTGGCCCAGGATGATCACTCATGCACAAAATGTATGGTGACAGGTCAAAGACCAACTTAGGCCAGCCTAACCCTCATTAATCTCCGTTTCACACAGTCACAAAGACATTCTGCTCAGTTAATTGCATCATAAATGGTTCTTTTTGTAGAACATGTGGAGTCTGTGTTGTCGGCTCAGCTAGCGGTTGTGGTGATGACGATGTTCAAAACTGCACATTTTTGAAGTCAGCTAGTCAGTGGGTTGCCTGAACAACTTTGGATAATCAGTTTTAAGGAAACTTTGTATAATTAGGCTGGTTTCAAGTTCACCTGACCCCACTCAGAAGCTTTTCTAAGGGGGCCTTAACACAACAGAAAAACTGAATGGATCCGAATGCAGAGTCTTTTGAACATTTGAACTATTTTGAAGCTGAAGTGACATTTTATAAATGCAAAACTATTCACACCAAGGCATTTTATTTTATTGTATTATTTTATCTTATTTTTTTTAAAGAGAAATGTATCCTTTGATAATTAGTTTGTCCACTTTTGCCTGTGGAAAACAAAATGTCCAAGTGGAAAGTCCACGGTACTCTGGCTACTTTGGTATTATTTGCAGTTTATTTTGCAATTTATTTGCTATACTATTGCCATATAAAAATTAAGCACATTTTTCATGCATATGTTCTCTTCAGTACTTGATTTCAAAGCTAAAATTGCATGATTCCATGACTATCAAGTTTAGTTGAAATTTAATGTAGTCCTATATTTATATTAGAGCATTTTATTGATTGATTACAAAAATATACTAATTTGTCATACACACAAGTTGTTCTTTGTATCTTTGGTAGGAGGTTTTTTTCAGGACTATTTTATTTCTCAGAGAAATTGGACTTTTGATTATTAAATTATGGCACTGTGGCTCGACTGACCACTTTCACCCCATGAAAAACGAAATGTCAATCCTGTCAAATTTACTTTTTTTGGTTGTATTTATTCTGGACTACCACTATACCCTTTCCAAATAAATGAATAAATAATTTAGTTAGCTGCATAGTGCCCCTGAGCCGACCAGTTGACCACTGCAACCCATTCTTAGTTGAGTCAAGGGATGTTAATCTGCACAGAGGATACTGAACGGCTCAGTTGGTGACCATGTGTTTTTAGGAGGAGTGTCCAT